TGTTGAGGCTTCGGACGAATAAATGGTCCTTTGCTCGCGAAGATGTATATACATCTGGTGTTGTCAGTTCAATAATAAATATATCAAAACAATTTACATGTACTGATTTCATCCGTAGTGGACACTTACTACGATTACAGCTGGGCCTATAAATGAAGTCGTACATAGAGAACAATTAAGGGCAATATGCTCAGGGCAAATCTTCTGTTAGTGTTATCAAGGTAACATATCATATACGTTCATTATTTTTATATTGGACATAAAGTAGCATACTAGTCAGTTATTGCACAAATATCATACAATTATTTGAAGGATTGGTGCCATGATGTGCACCGGTACCCCCCTCCCCCCAACAATAACAACAACAAACACAACCTCCTTCTGGTATCCGATATTCGAGGCGGTTGCGTCTTACTGAGGAGCGATGGGCAATAACACCTTTCAACGTCAAGAGGCGACTTTTTAGCTTTGCACATACGTCAATTGAAAGTACAATTACTTACATCCCCCATCCACACACTGCTCGTCATGCTGCCGTCAGTTACAGTCAACAATAACAAAACTTGGAACCAAGTTGAAACAGCACAGCACCGACTTTGCACATGTCAAAACCCTGAATGGGGAAACACCACATAAATTGATGACGTCACGTTGGGTTTCCCCTAATGTGTTGTGTTGTTATATCTCTCACTCTCGCGCGTTTTCAGTCCTGGGTTCCAGTGCGGCGCATTCGTCGATGTAAAGTAGCATACAGCTCCAAATTTGTACAAATATATTCAGCAAAAAATACCTCCGGATCAGGAGCTCACAAATAATTGACGTCACAGCACTGTTTGCTTGTTTGTTCTGTTCTCAAAGCTCAAGGTCTTGGGGATAAAACCCGGGATAAAACTCTAAGAAAGTTGCTGGCCGTTTGTTACTGACCTTGTTGGCACGATTATAATGTTTACTCTCTGATAATATACGCATAATATACATGGCGAGTCACTATGTTTGCTATTTTATCGTTGTGGTGTAATGTGGTTTCAAGTTGGCCATAATGAAGCAACTCCAAAAATGTGACCGTTTGTTCAGCAATGCCAACATTATTCGTAATAATTGTAGTTATATCCCAAATTTCAAATAGTTACTATGACATACATGTATGCCACACACATTATTTTAAATGGTCCCCAGGGAAACACGATACAACGGGGGCGGATACAGGATTTTTTTTTTATGGTGGGGTCAAACTTTAAAATCGCCAGACTAAGTTATTGATTTTTTTATATTATACAAAAACAAGTTGAATAATTTGAATGAATAATAACGGGGGTCGGACCCCGGGTTGGACCCCAAGAACCCCTCCCTAGACCCGCCACTGTACAATAATTTTGAGGCGCATTTTATTTATTAAGATGTGGTGACAGCGAGAAACCAGGATTTTCTGATAGTTAGATCGATATACGATCAATAATTATTGACGATATTAGATCGACAATTTCCGAGATTTAAAATTGATACTAGACAGGCTGGGACTTGGGAGTCAAGAGTTCGTAAATAGGGGATACTCCAATAATTATTGATAAAAGCCGGGACTTGGGGCTATAGTCAATATTTCTGAGATCGCAAATTCCTCGGTAAGTATCGGATAATTGGCGAGTTTTGAGATCAATGTAAGGTCTATATTTGATAGACTGGAACTTAGGCCATAGTCAAGATTTTTGAGATCGGGATCTGCAGCTGTAGGGTCTGAGAATTACATTACATGCGTGACTGTATCGATCCAAATATTATCATGCTCATTGCTAGAGTCCTTAGTTACACATTTTTTTTTCTTGAATACGCATCAACCATTAACAATTCCAACTTGATGGAAAAGTAAAAAATAGAAAGTTCAATATGCAAACTATTTTTTTGTCGATCCACCCAACAACATTTTCAGTCGAAACTTTATAAAAAAAAAATGTTGACTTCAGCTGCTTAAACGTGATCTGCATTACACCATCGCGGAATCACCGAATAAAAGTTTGCCCATTTATACCACCTTTTTGAGCTGCTGTTGAACTGAGACGGCGTAACTTCACGATTGACATTTAAAGCTCGTTGCCACCAAAATGCTCATTACTATGCAATTTCGGCTGATTCTGATAGTGACCCCACTGAGTCAAGTGATTTAAACGATGATAATTATTGTAATTAATACTGTTTGTTTTATTATGTTCTAATCTAAGATCATAAATCTATTCACTTCCAAATTTAGGGGGTTCGACCGAACCCCCTCCAAACTACGGGCCTGCAAATAATGTCCTAATTTGGTGTACATGTATAACGTTACGCATGTTGGGATGTTTCTCTCCCGGGGCGGGGGCGGGGGCACTGGATTTTCAGTTTGGTAGGGTGTGTAAAACCCCGGACCCCATCATAGACTATTTTCACCTCATAAACCATACCCCATTATAGACCAAATAGTAATTTTGTATATCCCATCAGAGACCAAATTGTCACTAAATTTATTCAGTTATAGGTTGAATTTTCTCATCATCCAGACTCGTCAATCTGAATGAATGATCAATCCAAGGGAAATAAGAACAAAAGTACTTACTTTTCAACAGGCAGCATTTTATTTTATTCATAAAAAGTTGTTGTTTGACCATTTTGTGGACATTGATAGTATTTTGGATATTTTTTTTATTATTTACTGATTATTTCTTGAGCCCCCTGTTCTGAAAACAGACCCGATCCCAGACCGGCAAACCTGATATTGAACCAAAAGGCAAGCAAAACTATACCCCATTCTAGACCAAACAGCTAAAATTTACGACCCTAAAGGGCACATTCCCCGTAATGGGATTTGCATTAAGTGACACCCCCCCCCCCCCAGCTGGGGTTCCTCTGCATACAACTTGGACAACAGTATGTTTAACCTATCAGCTAATTGTCATTAAGGGTTGGAGCATGCAGTCTCCTTCCCTGTTGTATGTCATATATATACTGTTTAGTATCACCCCTGTTGGCCAGAGATGAGGATGAGCAAGAAGGCTTGTTCAAAAGTCAAATGTTCAAGTGACACTAACTCCATTTATCCCCTATTGTGTTTAGTAGTAGGCTCATATTCCAGTCAATAACTTTTCAGGGGGTCTTCGTTCTACTGATTGCTTTTCAGAGTAAAACTTGAATAAAGACACAATCTGTGTATCTGATTCCAGGTCAGATGCCCAGACTATAGCCACCCAGGATAACCCTGTATCCTTTAATACAGTGTGTGATCTGCCACATATACAGCCTCCCATGGGTGCCACTCCCCCAATTTTCAAGTCCATGAGGTAGGCTCCCCATTCTAATTTTGAGGCATCTGTAACCAGGTTTACAGATTAAGTGATGTTCAATCTGCGATTCCTGCCAATACGTTTCCAAAGTACAGTATGTTGATCACTTGCGGATGGTTAATAAGCTTTTTCAAGAGTCCATACTACCAGGTATATGCCACAAAAACACTGACCATCTCAAATGTGCTTGTACTACAAGCACATCAAGAGGGCAGTCATCTCGTATATTTAATCACACAAATTGGTATGCATTTACAACTGTAAACAATGGGTCACATGACCAAGAGTGGTACAACACTTGTTAATTTCAGTTCTGAAAAGGATACACAAGCCAGATCTGACCTGTGCACCTTGCTTACAAGGGCCAGACTAAGCCCATTGCATGTTGAATTCCATACACAGGAACATTACAGTAAGTTAAGGTGTAAAGACCCAGATGGTTTTGTAGATGCACGTTATTTGAAGTACATTTAGATCAAGCCTAAATAAAAAGTCAAGAATCATGACAAGACTGCCAACCACAAAAGATTTAGTTCTGCATGCATACATTCTAGAAATTCAGTTCACATTTCCAAAACAAAAATACCCGACCACACCTGGAGTGGAAGCTTCCTGTTCATCCCGCCAAAACAGATTTCCAAGTAGGATTTCTTGCACTTAAAATTATGCAACCCCACAGTGCTTTTCACTAATCAAGTGCCCTCAAACACCTCGTTTCAGAAAGACTAAGTAAGGCCGGTAAGTATAGAAACTCCAAATAGAAATAACAGCCAGGCAGGAATAGTTTTAGGGCATGAAATGTTGTGAATTTTGACTTAATTTTTATTTTGACCCAGTGCCAAGCTAAAATGAAGTCTGTACTATTTCTATGGTTATTTGATAGAAACAAAATCAAAGGACATCAGGGACACAATACTCTGCACACTTCTAGTCATCTATGCAACATAAAATTTATCTTTTTTTAAGACTTCAAAGTCTACTCAACTTTTTTAAGGGGGTGGTGGTTGCACGTTTGACACAGCACAGGATTCGACACCTATCAACTGGGTGCAGGGCAAGTATAGATGAACAAGTCATTGTCAATGACACGTCCCCGTTCCGTTCATATTTGAGTGACATATACATTCAAAGCAGATCATGACCGAAATGCACCTGCATATGTACAACACATTGTGCTAAATCTGAACAAAATCCATCCATGCATGACTGAGATCCAGTTCTGGAATTGTGAAAATATGTGATTTTGATGCATTTTCGGCCTTAAAATGGCCATCATTCCGCTATTGTTAAGCAGATCATGAAACAAATGCACATATCTATTTGTGACATGATGTACCATGTGTGTGTGAAGTTTGAACTTGATCAATCCAGACATGTCTTGATACGGATCCAGAACTGAATTCTTTAACAAAATGGC